CGAACAGAGATACCCTCGTAGGTTCGGCAAGAGACGAGATAAAATAGTCCTGAAATAGTACTAATTAATGGTGCACCGCGCCACGTGAAAGATAATCGCCTTCCTTATGGATCGACCACCCTGGAGGAAGATGAAGGAAGTAGTGTGCCGTCTGAGAATGACTCTGGGATTCGGCTGGCATTTAGAACAGAATCGGGCAATCGGGCTAAGACCGTAACAGAGTCGCCAGATAGTGATGACAATGATCGTGAGAAGACTGGGACGATGGAAATCGTAAGGGCACCGACGCGGGAGGAATGCAGACAGAAGAGCCATCTCTAACCCTACGAAGAAGTACTCACCCTGCTACTTATGTGAGAGTGATATCAAGTACTAGTGTAGTGTGAGAATACACTTACCACGCCGGTAAAAGCGGATATGTACCTTTTTGGCGTGTAAATCCAACATGGCCGACATCTCGAGGCAGCTACGATGTCAGGCGTTTTTGCGAGGAGCGGCCATTTGTAATCGCCCCACTACGCATGTCTTATGGGCATTGGGATTTTTGACATTGGACCTATACTTTCTATCTGGATTTTGCGATTTGTTAGTTTTGTTTAAAACTTAAGCTATCATATTAACTTTATAACAAGGCTCTTTCCAGATAGTTTCGTATTAGTGGATTATTTTCTCTTTTACTGAAAGTAGCATTCCCTATGTCAAAATTGTGGTCACTCTCGTTACGGTGAGTTGTTTTTTAAAATATAATTTTCGTGTTCATATAGTCTGTTCTGGGAAGCGTCTAGTAAGTGCGACACTGACATCCGTAGACGTATTGGGACGGCCAAGGACATATTCCAAAAGCTGGGCAGAGTACTGCGAAATAAGTGGATTTCTTTGGTAACAAAGAAAAGAATACTGAGCTGTTACGTTACATCTGTCCTTCTTTACGGCAGCGAATACTGGACAATTTCCTCAAAGATGACGAAGAAACTCGAGGCAACAGAGATGTGGTTCTACAGAATGATGCTAAAGATACCACGGATCGAGCGTCTGAGCAACGATGAGGTCCTACAGAGGATGCAAACAAGGGGAAAGCTTATACTTAACATCAGGAAGAGGCAGCTAAAGTTTCTGGGACACATAACGAGGAAGGAAGGCCTTGAGAATCTGATACTCATGGATCAAATAGAGGGAAAAAGAGACAAGGGAAAACAACGCGTGACATACCTGGCGATCTTAAGCAAGTGGATGACAGAACGTGGTCAGGAGGAGGAAGCGAAGGGAAGGGGTTGTTGTTTAGAGCTGCAAGGGATAGAGAGAAGTTTAGAGCCTTGATCGCCTACGTCCTGAAAGAACATGGCACATAAAAAGAGTTTCTCCAATCTATTCATTATGGCAATTCCTGCACTTGATAATTCTTCCTTCACGTTTTGACTTCTTCTTTAGTTTTTTTAATTAAGTGTTTGATTGTTTTAGAAAAAAAAAACACTACAGATGAATTTGACTTGATTGAAAAAATATGCTTTCAAAAAATATTCTGTCAAAAATATTCCTGCAAATATTTTGAAACTACCAGCGTCTCTCGTTTTCTGTGCATGTGTAGACGTGGCAACATCAACTCTGATGAAATTCTAACGGCTGAAATGCGTCAGAAAAACTTTTTTTTTCCAATTTGGCATACTCTCTCTCTCTCTCTCTATATATATATATATATATATATATATATATACAGTGTAACCCGGATATAAGAGAGTTGTCGGGACCGGAGAATAGAATCTTATATCCGGGATTATATACATATAATTAACACAGGCTCTAATTTGGGACCGGAGAAAATCTCTCTTATGTCCAGGTTTTTCTTATATCCGTGTCTCTTATATCCGGGTTACACTATATATATATATATATATATATATATATATATATATATATTGTGGTAGGGAGAAAGAGAATAAAACGCATTTATTTTGAACAACGTCGATATTTATATGCTTGATTTATCTGAGGGATTTTGCTGTCGTGTTTGTAATATTCAGCATTCATACTTATAAAAGTAAAACTGATATTTTCTAGCCGTATTAAAACCCACCTGGGACTAGACGAGACATTATTTTGACATTTTTTTTTAGGCAAAAATTACAATTAAATTTGTAAGGCCAGTATCCGCTGTGAATTATGAAAGAATTACAAAGTATAGTCCAAACTCACATGTTATACTAGCAGATCACCCGTCAAAAATTACTATTATTTAAGTGAGGATCGACAAGGAGAGAAGAGTTTCTATGCAAAATTGACGCTTGACAATCGTCTGTTAGCAATCAAATGAGCATTTCTGCGCTCTGCCGACTTTATGGCGTCTAGTATTACGCCGATACAGCGGCAAAACGTTAGGATACCTTATCCTAACGTTATATATATATATATTATATATACAGATATATCACTTTGCTTAAAAGTGTAACGAGTATAAGACACGTTGAACGGAGGAGGGGGTGTTCAACCTTTGATAATTTTGAGGAAATATATGCTTAAAAATTTTAGATAGTTTTGATCAACATTTCTTTTCATTGTTAGCCGTAAGGAAGTGTAAATTTTGGACTACCTTACACTTAAGTAAAATAATAACAATAATAATATATGTTAAGAATTTATTACAGGAAATATCAAGTTCTACGAAAAGATTATTGACAATTATGTATTTAGTTACATAATAAATAAATAAAAATAACGTACATTTTTGATGCTATATTCGATTTGTTGTTATTTTTCCATTTTCTACTTTATCTAATGTTATTTTTGCTCTTTCCCTCTATACGTAATGTTATTTTTGCCCCCACCCTCTATACATAATGTTATTTATTCTCTCCTCCGTACATATAATATTATTTTTGCTCTCTCCCTCTATACGTAATGTTATTTTTGCTCTCTCCCTCTATACGTAATGTTATTTTTGCCCCCACCCTCTATACATAATGTTATTTATACTCTCCTCCGTACATATAATATTATTTTTGCTCTTTCCCTCTATACGTAATGTTATTTTTGCTCCCACCCTCTATATATAATGTTATTTATTCTCTCCTCCGTACATATAATATTATTTTTGCTCTCTCCCTCTATACGTAATGTTATTTTTGCTCCCACCCTCTCTATATAATGTTATTTATACTCTCCTCCGTACATATAATATTATTTTTGCTCTTTCCCTCTATACGTAATGTTATTTTTTCACCCACCCTCTATATATAATGTTTTTATACTCTCCTCCGTACATATAATATTATTTTTGCTCTCTCCCTCTATACATAATTTAATTTTTGATTACTCCCTCTATATATATTGTTATTTTGCTCCCGCTCTCTATATGTGTTATTTTTACTCTCTCACTCTCTATATAATGTTATCTTTGCGCTCTCACTCTATATGTAATGTTATTTTTACTTTCTCACTCTCTATATAATGTTATCGTTGCACTCTCACTCTATATATAATATTATCTTTGCTCCCACCCTTTCTATATTATTTTATTCTTGCTCTCTCCCTCTATATGTAATGTTATTTTCTTCCGAAGTCCTAATGAAAGTTTCGTAGGATTTTCTTTTCCGTTTTTTCATTCATTGTCATCATTTACATTATTTGCAGTCATTTTCATGCATTATGTTTTCTTGTACTTCAATAATAAATCGCGTGGAACTGTTCTTTTAGACGGTATGAATGCTGTTGAAAGCAGACACATTTTTAATTTTCAAAACTGGCCAGTCCTTAACTGTGTATGTAATTATTTTTTTATTACAAAGTTTCGGCCGTTGTACCTCTCCGGCCTTCTTCAGATGGTTGGAATGTCGAACAGGGGTAGACTGTTCCAATTCCACGTGCCATGTTTAATGGATGTCAGTTATCTCCCTCTGAAAGTTCTCCACTGCCTTAACCGGGTATTGTACTCACACACTTTGGGTCCTTTCACTATTATATATATATATATATATATATATATATATATATATATATATATATATATATATTTATTTGTTTTTAGGAAGCAATCCTTCTTTCATGGACATTTCATTGAATACGAAAGACAAGGTGCTTTTATTTAGTTTTTTATACAATTTCTCATGTGATCTAATATTTTTTTTCTTTTCGGATGATAAATTATATAAAGACTCTCCAAATGCTCTTTTTATTTGAGCGCTTTCGGCTCTACAATTAGCCATTTTCAAGGATTAAATATTTTAACTGTTAAATAAGAAATAGTTTGTTATATGTATGTTTTATAAAATGTTTTCATTTTTCAAAACACGTTCAATATATTGTGTCCATGTTCAAAATTAATATTAGTAAGTGTTGTTTTTTTTTTTTTTTGTTTTTCTTAATAATATATATATATACATATATTAGATAATTAATTTATTAGTTTTATTTTATACAAACGGATGGATGCATTTTTACAATGCTCCTTGAAGCAAATTCATCCCGTTTGTAATTTTTGCATAAATGGTTAGGATAAAATTCATTGATATTACTACAATTGTAACTTTGAACTAGTTTGGTAGTTACATTGGTATACATAATTTAATTTGATGTTACATTGCGTGGCTTCACCTTGGTCTGCCTCTCCTGCTAACTGCAAAGTATTCATTTCAGGAAGATGACGATCAGAATTCTTCAAAACTTTCTTTTGCAACTCGAAGACCTGATTAAAACCAAGCTACGAACACATGTACACATCAAGTGCTCCTGACCAGCTGCAATCTTCAGCTGAGCGCCGTACTTCAGCAAAGTTTCGGTCCATTAAGCTCAGTACCTCCCCACATGGTGGATCCGAAACAAGCTGGATGATGTTACGTTGCAAACGGTCTATGTTGTTTGTTGAATGCGACTCGATACGAATTTCTGGGTAATCCATGCACTGCCCTTCCACCGCTTTTTCTTTATCCTCTTATTCGGCTTTTGGGTACCAGCACACTTGAGGAATCTCTTTAAGGAATCAGCAGGAAGTCCTCTACATCCAACCTCACATGGCACCACGATGCAGCCGTATCCTCTCTCACGGACTTCAGCCACCACCTTCTCCTCATATCGAAGCAGCTTTCTTTCATGAGCCTCTTCAATCCCTTCTTCCCATGCCATTGTCAGCTCGCCAAGCAGCAGATGTTGCTTCCCGATATCAATCAACACTAGATCTGGCCTCAGTCCAGACACAATAACCTCCACTGGCAGTGTAGCATCAACCAACACTCTCTACTTCCTTGAGCCATCCAACCTGGTCTTCTGCCTTGTGTCAGTCACACCTTGCCTCAGGAAGGCTACACATCTCGCAGCTGCTGCCACGAACTCCAGAACCAAGTTATGTCTGAAGGTGTACCAGCCGTTCTGTAGCAACTTCAGGCAGGATAACAATATGTGGTGCAGGTTTTCATGTGCACCACACAACTGGCAGGAGGGTGACTCCTGCACTCCCTATCTCTTCAAATTTGCCGGTGATGCTGCCACACCATATGCTGCCTGTATCAACAACCTCAAATGACCTGCGCCTAGACGCCACCAATCTGACCGACTGATCTGAACACCCTCAATACCATCTCAGTTGAACCATCGAACCTGCTGAGCCTGCTGGATAGTCCGCAGTAAACGTCTCTCCCCCTCGAGAGATCGAAACCCCTGTTCTTGTATCTTGCGTTGCCCCTGTCTACTGGCCTCTGACCAGAATCTCTCCCTCTCAAGTAGACCAAGTTCAGCAGGTCCCTTCCTTGTAACACCTTGAACTTCTACCTGTTTTACCATCACTTCCACTGCTGACACCACGTCTGAAACTTTCCACTTTCTTCCTGTCTTCACCTCTGGCACATTTTTTACGGATTGCAGCATCCCTAGATTCACACAGCATGGACTGCAATCTCACCTTTGCCACCTTGTACTTATGCAGTAAAGCTAACTGAAGCCCCCCCCCGCTGCCATACAAAGCGACCGGGGACACAATCCATGCGACACCAAGCCACTTCCGTATGCATTTACTAATTTTCCTCTCAATTATCTCAACTCGAGACAGTGCCACCTCATATATATAGTCAGCGGCCACATTAGTCTTGGCATCAATCCAAAATGCATACACCGCACTTTAAATTTCTCGGGAAGCCAATATTGGTCTATTCTTCGCAGGCCCACCACCGCTTGTTGCTGGATTTCAATCCCAAGGTGACGATCTGTCACAGGGAAGTTATAACACCTCCCAAGACTCTTCACACCTTGCTCCCGTACTGTTGGTATCTTTTCAACTGCGATGTAAAACACTTCATGTATGACAGAACCTCCCTTCATAGACAGTGACCTGCTTTTCTTTGGTTTGAAGGCCATCTGACTCCATTCTACCAACTCTGCAAGTCTATCCTGAACCAACTGTGTTACTTTCCTTTCATCTTGAATTATCGTTAAATAATCCATAAATGCTCGGATTTTGACCTCATTCTGCAGGAAGTGGTACCCTGGCGTCAGACCTCTCAAGATCACCTCCATTACCATCACAAACAGTACTGGAGAGATGGCACATCCCATAGCAATTCGCCTCTGCAGCTCCACATACCTTGTAGTGTAATTCATCGTTGAAAAACGCAGCATGAACTGATTGAAGTACATAGCCAGACATTCCCTGAGTCTCTCCGGAACGTAGAAGAACTCCAACGCCAGCTGTTATGTTATACGGAACCGAATAACACGCATTAGCAAGATCGAGCCAGATGACGTGAATATTCATCCTTTCAATTTTAGCCTCGAGAATCTTTGCCCAAGTCATTGACACATGTTCCAAGTACCCTGGAAACCCCGGCACACCTTCCTTTTGAATACTATTGTCTATATAGTTATTCCCAAGCAAGTAGCTCACCAGCCTCTTGGCAAACAACTTTAAAACCACCTTTCGTTCAACGTTCACGAAAGATATTGGCCGAAACTGACTAAGTGTCAACAAATTCTCCTCCTTCGGTATATACACCCTATCAGCTCGACACCAACAGTCCGCAACATCACCAACATCCCTAATCTTCACAAGAAGCCTCCACAAACACCTCAGCAGCCTGGGGCACCTCTTGTAGACAGCATATGTCACACCATGAGGACCACCCGTAGAACATGCTCTTGACCTCTGCACAACTGCTTGGACCTCCTTCCAAGTCACTGGAGACTCATCAAAATCTACTTCCGGGGCGCCAGGCCTGAATAAACCTGGTATCACCTCGGTTGGGACCTCCCTTCTGGCATCCGAGTACGTGCTCATAAGGTGTCTCTCCAGTAAATATAAAAATTGCTGTTTAGGGTTTTATTCTAAAATCCAGAATTAATGACATCGATTCTACCTCGACAATCTTGAATTGAAAAAAACATGATTGTTCATTTTTATCGGGTATAGAATTTAACTGACTGATGTATCAATTCCCCTATATTTCATCGGATAGTGGGCAATTTCCTCAAAGATGAAAAGGAGACTCGAAACACCAAAGTGTTCTACAGAAGGATGCTGAGAATACCATAGACGGAATATTCTCAGCAGTCTTCAGTAGAACTAAATCTCTGTTGCCTCAAGTCTCAGCTTCATCTCTGAGGAAATTGTCCAGCATTTACTGCCATATAAGCGAATATGAAAAATTAATAAAAAATAAATAGCACTTAAGAATTTAGAATAAATTGAGACTATTATAATTTTTATTTTTTATTTATCAGTAATTATTCATTGGATATGCCATGACAGAAAGAAGGTGTCTAGACGTTACAATCAAACTTTAAATGGAAACAGCAATGGAGTGTCTTTTCGTTTTCTACTCTTTTTATATCTCGGACCGGAACTGATAGAGAAACAGTGGCAGTAACACCCCGAGGGGGATGTTGAGCCATGACAGGGCCTCGCTGTGTTCTGTTTAGTGACACTGGTAACAATATCCGGCGATGGAGACAGGAGTCTGTTGGCATCGAAATCAAATCGGGAAATGGTACCGATGAAGAAAAAATACCCTCAACTTTGTGTTTAATGAAAACAGTCATCACGTGAGATGATATTTTTGGCACATCGTCATGTAATGATGAGATCACGCAATGTAGAAGACTCGCCGTAGAGCAATGGTTAGGTTGTTTCGCTGATCAGTATTAATCTTATTTCGAGTCAGTAGTTTCTACAAACGTTAAGTAACGTCAAATCTTGTCAGTAACTAAATGGGTGACCGCTTCGGGACACTAGGTGTTGTCATGTTTAACGGCTCGGAATCATTTTTCTTACAATGATTTTCACACTGTACAAGGCCCAAGAGCCACTCGAGATAGAGCTTTCCAGAGTAAGAAGGAGTATTCCAATCATGGTGATAATGCTACCAAGACTCAATTAGCCACCAGAAATGAAAGAGACGAAAAAGACTTTTGGGGGAACCCTATCCTGGAAAAGGGGAAACCAAATTCCAGTTCCATCCGGGTTCTTTATATTCACTTACGCATAAATAACCTTGGGAAAGACATGAATCCATTTCCCCTCCTCCAAGCTATAGGGTAATTAAACACGTGTATCGGTAAATCTTTATTATCGCCATAAATTTCTCCAAATATAAAAATAAATTATGGCTTTAAATAATATGCAAAAGGTTGACAAAACGTTAAAAACAAATCAATCAATATCAATTTTAAAAGAAAAGAAGAATATGATTGCTTGGAAAATCAGCATACAACATTTTCATTTTGGGCACCCACCCCCTGTATCGATAATAAAAAAAAAATATACAAACTCCGACGAAAATTTCCGTCAATCGCATTTGAGCCATAGAATTTCAATAAAGAAAATCGACGTCCTCCACAGTTACTGTTGTTTACCAAATAAAAGTGCCGACACGATTAAATAATTTATTCAGTGCCCTGCCCACCGGAAAGGGGGTTATTTTTTTCAGATCATCATCATCATCGTCATCATCATAAGTCCTATGACTCGGTGTGGTTCTAGGATCTCTGCGCAGCTGAGCAACTGACAAGTTACCTCCATATATCTGATTTCAAAGCCGGGGAGTTATTCATTCAGATGCAGAGTATTTTGGGCAAGTAGACCTGGCGGAGCCTATAACTCTCCAGCATATTTGCTATGGAACGCTCTTTAGGGGCGGGGGGAATAATTCCCTCTGTGCCTCAACTATTTTGTTAAACGTTTATTAAACATTTAATATTTAAAAAAAAAAATCCAGCACGTTAATTTGAACAGACGGGATTCTTTCGTGAATTGAAATGTTCATATTGGCACGACTATTTCAAGCAGACCTTGTATTTGGTACAAAATATATATTAACTAACTTTGTCTTAGTCTAATGCTAAGATGATACACGCAAATCGAGAATGAAGATTGCACCAATCTAGTCTGCATAGACAATCATCATTCGCAATTGTCGATTTTGTCTGGACGCAAACACCGTTCTAGGCCACTGAAAAAATACGCTACAGCCTCACCCACAAAAGATGCTATTCTCGGTTATTAAAAGAAATCTACACGATCATAAATACTGAGATGTATAATTGTGCAGCACCAGTCTTCTCAGTAAGAGATGGCTTGCTTGGAAATCAACATTCGAAATTGTATCTTCTACTGAGGACTGAATTTGTTCTGTTTCTTGTATAATCACCAAAGTTAAGCAACGTCGAACCTGGTCAGTAGCTAGACTGATGAATGCTTGGGAATACCAGGTGCGTTAACCTTGGATGTGCGGGTGGTGTAATGGATAACGGCTGCAAATTGCAAATCGAGTAGGCGAATTTCAATTCCAGTGGTGTTCGTGATATTCACTTAAGCACAAGTACCCTAGGGAAAGGTATGAATCCAACACTTCACCTCCTGCTATTGTTTAATTAGTAGGATTTGTATGAACAAATTATAATTATTTCGCCAAAATTCTTTTAATCTAAAAATATTTTCCGGCTTTAAATAACCTGTAAAGGGTTGATAAGCCGTAAAAACAAGTAATCTAAGAACAGGTTTCTGAAACCAAATATATGGTGATTCTTTTCTAATATTCCGTTGTTAATCATTTCAGACTGGAATCATTCGAACTATTTTCTTACCTCACTCTTGAGCTAACACTTCAAATATCAGAAAAAGGATGCTGAATTACTATGTAA